CTCTCTCTCTCTCTCTCTCTCTCTCTCGGTTAGCAGCACGGAAGAAGTTCTGACCTTTGCTTTCATCCCAGATATTGACTTCCCAGTTGAATCTACATTTCTAGGCTTTCCTTGTGGTCTCCCATTCCGCAGCTCACTGGATCTGGCTGGAATGCCTGCCAGGCAAGGCCAGCTGGGTGCTGTCACTTAGAGGGAATGAGCTGTAGGGGCCAATCACACTCAGAACAAGGGAATCCAATCTTGACAACTTTAAGACCTGTGAACTTCAACTCTCAGAATTTTGGAACTTGGTCTACAAATCTTTTTTTATATATACAATATTTATTTTAAGACAAACATACACAGACAATACATTAAAAAAAAACCATCTTCCATTTTGTACAAACAGTGTGTCAGTTGGTTTAGAATCTTTTGTGCGATCCTTTCATAATTATTGTTCACAATTTATATCAATCTCACATTGTCAAACTAACATATGATTATCTATTTATCAATTATTAATTATCCTGCTATTTATTCCATCAATATTGTATTATGCTGTCATCCAATGGTTATATATGTCTGCATTATATTTTGTATCAATCTATTAAGCTTCTATAACAAAATGGTCTACAAATCTTAAAGTTGCCAAGGTTGTGGAACCCCGAGTCGGCAGCTTTTTGCTAGAAGGGGACATGTGGATTTAACTATATTTTTCTTCCTAAAGGTAACATTAAGTCACATCATTAATATAATTGATTACTATTACTATTGTTGTTGTTGTTGTTATTTACTATGTTAGGTGTATTGATCCCTCCAGCTATCCTTGTAGTCTTTTTTCTAAATATTTTTAAATCTTTAAAGATTTACAGGGATACAGCCTGAAGTGAAGGACCTCATGCATTTCTGAAAACTAAGCTTAACTTTTATGTTGTGTGGGTGGGTGTGTTTATGTATGTTCAGAACCTACTGGGATGGATGTGGACCCCGTGCCAAAAGATGCAAGTCAAATAAAATCCACCACTCCAAATGCAGATCTTTCCTAAAACCATGAGCCGGTGTGAGAGAAATGACTTCCTTTTTTTCATGATATCGTTCTTGCTTTTAAAATTGGAAACCTTTAAGTGTTCTTAGGAGTTGGGTGGTCTCTAAATTAATTAATTAATTACATACATACATACATACATACTTACATACATACATGAATTGTTGGCTGGATAGATGACAAATAGATAATGAAGATAGATGATGAAAGTGATAGGATAGAGACAGACAGACAGACAGACAGACAGACAGACAGACAGACACAGACAGACAGATAGACAGACAAATAATGATAGATAGATGATAGATGATATAGATAGATAAATGGATGGATGGATGGACAGACAGACAGATGGATAGATAGACAGACAAATAATGATAGATAGATAGATAGATAGATAGATAGATAGATAGATAGATATGATAGATAGATATGATAGATAAAAGAGACATAATGAGATACACAGACAGATAAATAGACAGATGATAGAGACATAATAGAGAATAGATGATAGATATAGGTAGACTGACTGATGATAGATGGAGAGAGAGAGAGAGAATGAGAAAGTGAGAGAAAGGGGAGAGATGATGGAAATAGAAACAGAGACAGATATGATGGATAGTTGGTGATTGAGAGATAGATGTGTATGCATGTGTGTGTGTGAGAGAGAGACAGAGATCTTAATTTATGGGGAAAACATAGAATGGGAAAGAATTAAGTTCCTGTAAGTATGCTTGAATGAAATGATTTTATAATCATTCAGCATCAGAAACAGATTCTTTCTTATGACAGGCCCTTAGCTGTGGAAATGTCTTTTGGATGAATTGCACTTCCACCCAGTGTGGAAGTCCACTTTAGAATCCAAATCAGTGTTCAAATCCACTTTAGGATGCTGCATCTTTTTAACTGTTCCGAGTACATGAAAGAAATCTGATACTAATCTTGAATATGTGCAACTACAACTCTGTTTTGAGAAATAATGTATTATTTGTTTTTATCCATGTCTGCAGAGGAAGGAAGGAAGGAAGGAAGGAAGGAAGGAAGGAAGGAAGGAAGGAAGGAAGGGGAGGGAGGGAAGGAAGGAAGGAGGGAGGGAAGGAGGAAGGCAAGGAAGGAAGGAAGAGGAGGAAGGGAGGGAGGGAGGGAGGGAGGGAGGGAGGGAGGGAGGAAGGAAGGAAGGAAGAAGAGGAAGGGAAGGAAGGAAGGAAGGAAGGAAGGAAGGAAGGAAGGAAGGAAGGAAGGAAGGAAGGAAGAAGAGGAAGGGAGGGAGGGAAGGAAGGAACATTCATTCCATTCTTTGTTGGCTTCAGCATATGAGTAAACAGTATCAGATCTGCTCTTCACCTCTTTGCCTCCATGTAAACACAATTTCTAAGGCAGCACAAAGAAATGGACAATTCTTTACCGCCTCTCCAATCTTTGATTATCATATTTGCATTTCAAGCACGGAACTACAAAGGTAAGGGAGGAATGAGGAACGGGGTCATTATTTGCTGAAGTCAACAGGAAAGTTCTCCCCACTGAATGAGCTCATAAAGAATTTTTGGCAGTAGTTGAATAAGAACCTTGATAAGGGTGAGGCTGGAAAGTGGAGCGGTGGGTCAGCCTCATCCGGGAGAATGTGGAATCTTGAAAAGTAGCCGATAACAATTATGTAAAAGCAAAGCTTGTTTTAATTGCTGGTTGTATAAAGGCAGCAAAACACACAAGAGCCAAAAGTACAAGCAGAAAGGATTCAG